AGAATAATAATTTTTGGAATCTTATTAATCTAACCTGTTTTGATTTGGTATTCTTTGTACGATGTGGTTTCTCTAGAGAGGAGTCTTTATGAGAAAAACAGAAATTACTAGGAACGATGTTGGTAAAGCTATGTTTTCGACATATAAGACAGGTGCCTGTTTTGTGACACTTGTAATCATACCGTCACGACTCTTTTTCAGGTAAACTACATAGGGATGATAGTCGCTCTGTGTGTATAGATATTAATTAAATTCTTAAACTAACTAACTAATCTGTATTCAATTCTCATGCACTACAGCCTAGACTAAAGCAATCCGTCATAGGTCAGCCAACTGGTGTTGGTGCGTATGCATGCATACCTCGGGGGTTTCGTATTTTCAGGAAGCGCCATGACGTCATGTTGAACACCTTTTAACTACCTCTTCAATATTTAAGTTCGGAAATTATGACTTAAGTTTTAAAGCTTAATGACGTAATGATACTCACTTCTCATCTGTCTCTTCAGAAACCACGTCATTTTATGTAACACGTATATTACTAATACCCCATGAGCCACCCGGACGTGACGTTATTTTGTACTTGAATTGTGGTAATAAAAATTGTCGTCATTTTATACGTCATTCCCAGGTAAGGGAGGAAGTTCATTGGAACTTATTTCTGTTGTACGTGAACAAAATAAAATTGGATAATATAGGTGAGATACGTTAGACATGGTTGAAAAACGATGATAATGGACATCAAAGCTACAAACATACAACGCACGTACATATATGACATATAACATGTCACAATACTCGGTAAAATAATATAAAACTATATAACAGCTAACCCTAGGACCTTCTGTCAGTAAGGGCGAGAGTGGTGTATAGCTTGCAAAAAAAAAAACAAAAAAAAATGCAGGAGTGTATACCATATTTCAAAGGACTTCCGATTCCCAAAGTATACATTTCAGCTTGTCTTTACTGAATGCATTTAAATAAAAAGGGTAAAAAAAAACTTTAGTACTTTTGATTCAAGCCGTAACTGACACTTTGAAGTTTCCCGACGGATCTGCATGTAAGATGAATTTTATGATTTACATATGAATATGTTTATATATATTCTAACCAGAAGGCTAACACATTTTAACTATAACCTACACTAATAATACTCATGACATTTAACTAGGATAAAAATAGTAATCGAATTCACTTTTAATTCGTTTGGTATTTGTTTTGTTCAATTTTCGCGCAAAGATAGTCGAGGGTTATCTGCGTTAGTCTAGTGGCAGTATTTTACTATCCAGTTTTTCAACTAACCTGATGATTGGTCTACAGTAGGTCTGCATACGTTGGACAACTAGGTCAGCCACCACTCTTCTGTCTTCTTCTTGACTTTCTCCCAGGAAAGTCATTGCAGAACCGTTAACCTAATCAAAACTTGTCATTAAAAAGCTATTAATTGCAAAACCTTCTATGAAAAAATAATTTCTGGTAGAAAATCCATTTATATTATTTTATATTTGCCAAATTGGAGATGTTCTCGATTTTTGATATTAACTTTTTCGACGTATGTTAATCAAGATCTCTTTTAATACAGAGTTTTACGTACACGCTGTACTTTCGTAAATCTTGTGATGCCCTAATTTCTAACTTTAATCTGCTGGTTAGTTTTTCTCTGTGTATTCAAGAACTCTGGCTAAAACCGAAGATCGGATTAAGGCGAAATAACAGCACGGGACTTTTCTCCGTCAAAAATGACAAAGTAAATTTTCTAACCGTGAATAGTGCTTTCATTGTAGTAAACTAAAATCAGATAAATAACTACTGAAACCAAACTTTATCATCCGCACATAACAATCGTGGATCCGAGGTTTTTCATCTTTAATAAAGCTTGTCTTGTTTCTATAGAAGCAGATCAAACGTTTTTAAGAAAATTGTAATATTACTTGACTTTACGGGTTGTTTTTGTCTTGCAAGATCTTAGTTTAGTAAATATATATGACAAGTAGGAGATCGCCAAGAATTAGATTATAGACAGCTTCGTTCCGTACCCACAAAGAAAATATCAGGAAAAATGAGCAAATTACAGGTATATCTTACCCCTTTCCGCTAGTTAACCTATTTACATGCTTAATAATCACTACCCTTTTTCCTCAGGATGGTTGCTAACCTATCTACGTGTTTAATATTCACGACACTTCTTTTCCAGAATGGTTGCTAACCTATCTACATGCTTAATAATCACAACCCTTCTTCTCCAGAATGGTTGCTAACCTATCTACATGCTTAATAATCACAACCCTTCTTCTCCAGAATGGTTGCTAACCTATCTACGTGTTTAATATTCATGACCCTTCTTCCCCAGAATGGTTGCTAACCTATCTACGTGTTTAATATTCACGACCCTTCTTCCCCAAGATGGTCGAAAACCTATCTATACGTTTAATATATTAACTTCCCGTCCAACTTCCACTATAACTCTTCCTATCTATCGACTATCTTCCTGATAACTTCAATGATTCGTCCTTGGTATCCTATTTTTGGGTGTCCCTTTATATCTTAATACCGATTCACTTCTATTACTTTCCTTCGTTTTTCGCCATCTACCTTCCTGATAATAATCTCAAAGATATTTATCTTCGTTTGACCTTTGTTGGAGGTCCCACAGTAAAGATATCCTCCTACTCCGCCCTTCATTCCTATCAACCAACGTCCCTTCCCCGGGAATTCTGTTGTACGTGCTCTTTTCTTGAACTAGATTCTGTAATACATTTATTGTCATACTTTCCCAGAGTGCTTCTACCGTGCACATTTTTTTTTCTTTTTGCCTGTCCCTCCCTTGTGTATCCTATTACAAACCTCGATTATATATTCCCGCCCGTCTTTCCCTTGGATGGCTTCAACAGCACACATATCCAGTCCACCAAACAATTCCGAGACTGCGTCCACCCATTGCCTATAACGGTCCGTCATCTGAATCTGTTCCAACATGGCGGATCCTGTATTAGCCTTCCAATTTCCAGAAATGGACTTCCTCCTGGTTCGGCAAATAAACAAAAGATAAAGTGCTATTCTGATATGGTGATATATAGGTACAAGTAAGTTTAGACCGAGTACTTCAAAGGCAAAATTAAAATCATTCATTTACTTTGACTCATTTTTACCAGAGTCCTAGTAAAATACTGTCACTACCGGGTAAAATACTTTAGGATTCTCATTTTTACAAGAGTCCTTTTCATCAATTCCTGATGTAAACAGTATTGCGTCCTTGCGGTAGTTTTCGTCTTTCACAACTAAACATATAAAACTTACTTGGATAACGTTTCCTATCATCGATCGTGAAAGCTTATATAGCTAGAAATTACATCACGGTTAGTCACGGTATGGTATTTGTTATCAAATACGAAAGTTGACCACTGAAGTAGTTTAAATCCCGCCATAACCTCCAGGAGCATCAATACGATTTCCAGCAATACTCCTTTAACTACGGTCTGCCATCAGTACAATTTTGTGACACACTTTTGTTGTTGGTTTTTTAGCGCAAATCTATACAATGGGCTACTTGCGCTCTGTCAACCGCAAGGAATCAAACTCCGTATTTTAATATTGTAAGTCTATAAACTTACCGCTGACCACCAGGGAACTGACACACACACACAAATAAAAACGCTTTTTATCCTACTGTAAAATTTCAACGCTGAAATTTGGCCATAACGTATAATTAAAAATCTTATAATTCAAACGACAAAATCAACAATCAAAATTAGTTGAAATGTAATATAAGACAAACGTTACGTAATACCCGGGGAGACAGAATATTTTGAACAAGACATAGATATTTGTTTATACCTGATCACCTACTGATCAAAAGCGTATCGGTTGGTTGCAACTTTGAGTGGATATATGTGCGTGTGTGAAGAAAAGTGTGTTACAAATTTCCTGTTCCATTTTTATAGTGCCACTATTGATTTTTTTAGCCCTAAGGTCATAATCGAAATTAAAATTTGAATTATATTTGTTACGTAACTGATAATTAGAAAAAAACGTGTTATTATAATTTACAAAAACAAAATTTAGACAGAGTATCATAACTTGAAACAAAAACTACTTAAGACGAACTTTCTATATATCTCTTTTCGTCCATTAAGACGTAACAAAGTCATCAAAGATTGGTCTAGTGGCAGCGGATTTATTTAAAGAAAGAAAAACGAAACACGCAGCAACATCCACTTTTTTTATGTGTCCATTCCAGTCAGAAAAGCCAAACCTGTTCTACGAACAGCGATGAAAATGTTTGCCGATATCGTTTCACTTTCCAGGACAATAAACCTGTTTTTATGTTAAATGATGCTTGATTAAAGACTGTAAAGATGAATATATATATATATTCAACGTTTGTCACCTGAATTGTAATCATTTTTAAGCCTTTTATTTTTTTCTACTTGAATCCCACGTATTTGTAGTACTTATTTTGTTGAGGCTTTCAAATTATCTGGACTTGTAATATCAAAATCCCCCCATCCTCCTCATTCGTAAGCTGTTTTAACCGTTTTAAATATATACAACTTATCATGCACTTATGTTGAGATCAGCGTATTTTATCATATCTTTGATATTAACTAAAAAGAAACTGTACAATATGTATAGGAAAAACCATGACTTCAAACATTTCTGACTCCCGGTATCTTATGTAACAAATTACTTTATGTTGGATTCAGCGCATTTTATCGCATCTTATGGAACAAATTAAAACAACTATAAAATAGATTTCTGATTCCCGGTTCCTTACGTAACAATCTACTTTACGCTAGATTCATCGGATTTTATCACATCTTTGATGTTAATCAGAAGTACAACCATAAAAAATACCTCAAACATTTCTGATTCCCAGTATCTTACGTAGCAATCTGTCTTATGTTGGATTCAGCGCATTGTATCCCATTTTTAATTTTAATTAGTGGAAATTCAATAACCATAAGACAACCAGGACTTAACTTTTCTGATTCTCTGTATCTTACTTAGTATTCTATCTTCTTAACGTTGTGCTTTCACCAACGTACCTACTTACTACAAGGTTTTCAGGGCCAGTATTTTAATTGGACATATATGATCAGCCTAATACTTGTAAGAATTATTTTGACACTTTTAATGGCGTAATACTAGAATTATAAATTTTTACCCATCTTTTACTTAAATTTTGAATAGCCAGATTCAACGTTTTATGTCAAACCAAAAATATTCTAATTCAATGAACAGAAGCAAATATATAAACCAGTCAGATTACTAGTAAAGCCTAATCTAGTAACTGAGATTTAGCACCTAATTTCATGGAAAAATTTTCGGTTTCAAGTTGATCGTTTAATTAAAATATACACAAAGCCGACGTTTATATGTCTCTAAAGATTCCTGCAAAGGTTTTTCGTAAATTCTGCATGGTATCATCATGGTCTTCCGAGTCCTTTCCTTTGCCTGTTTGGGAGTCCCGCCGAAAAAGGGACGAAGCGCCACCTGGTGCCATTGTTTTTACTTCAGAGGATGTTTTATGCTGTTCCTGCGAAGGCACTTGCTTTCTGTCTGAGTTATCTTGAGATGACTGAGAATCTCGACGCGACTCTGTTGCGGACCTGTCAACAAAACTACCTTCCGGTTGCTTAGACGCTGCTGGTGCCCTCTGTTGGGACTCGGTCTACAAATAAAATATTAATACAGAAAACTTAGTAGAGGCTACACCATTGAACTCATGATTGAAAAGCTTTTCGAATGATAATTTCTTAAAGGAAAAAGCAACGAACTTACTATATCTGAGCTTTACTAATCTTGTTTCAGTTTTTGTTTTGATGGTGTAACATTAACACTTCTGCTAATAGGCACAGTTGTAAAGTAATTATTCAAATACTCTCTGAATCGTTGATTTTTTAATACAAATAAATAAACGCAGCTGTAGCATGATAAAATCTAAAAATAGAGGAAAATAGTTAATATCGCTGTAAGATAAGAAGACACCTGTAATGAACGTTTTAGAAAATATAACCTTCATTGGAACTTTCAAAATCCGGTTAAATACAATAGCTATTAACAACTAACGATTAAATACGATACCTATTAATACTTTATATGTGGAGCATAGAATCAACTACTCAAAATAACCTTTCATAAACGTAAGATTTATAATAAGAACATTTGGTTAATTTCTCTGACAAAAACACAAGAGAAAAAATTGTAATAACTAGAAAAAACTTCCATTCAAAAAGAAGATCCAATTTATGGAATGCTAAATTCCAACTGTTTAAGAAACCATATGTGTGGTAATTACATACTATCGAAAATCGTAAAATATATACTTGTAAAAAAGAAAGGAAATGTCGTTTTTAGTTGGCTAAAAACAAATGTAAATTTACCATTGATTGGCAAGATGAAGAAGGGGCAATTTGTTCTTCCGGCAGTGATTGGCTGCTGATGCTGGATCGAGATGACTGCTTGCTACTACGAGAAGAAATATAGCAAATTTGGCACATTTTAATAGCATCATGTATAAAAACATGGAGGAGTTTAACACCAATAGCCAATTCAAAGTGTTTCTCGTGCTTACAATTCTCTTAAGTTTTAGCTGATCAAATACTTCTACTGCGTTAAGCGTACATTGATTGGCTTTCACGTTCTTGTTCCTTTGTTAGGATAATGCAATTTTAATATATACATATATATACGTTTAAAGCTACGTGTATTTAAATATCTATAAATGCAATTCTGAAAAGAAAAACTACATCAAACATTTTGTTCTTTATTCTGTTATTTATCTGAACTGTACGAACATTATAATTTTGATAGTAAGCTCATAATCCAAAGATTTCCTTAAGCCCATGGCTTGTTTAATGCATAAAACCTTACAATAATCTTCCAGGTTTGGTCGACTGTATTCTAATAACTGGTGTCGTTATTACTTCATATTATTTTTGGTTGTAAAGAACCGCCTGTTGTACCAACTGTCAAACCATATTTTTACTCATTCCCTCTTTTGTTTAAAATTCTATATTCATATAATAGTTGCCAGTTTCTCGTTGTCGTTTCTTTTAATACTTAACTTGGAACCGTCGTCCAAACCTTTCATTATGAGAATCAAATAGCAGAAGCTGCATAAACATTAATCTGAGAAATTTTCATGAACTGAAAATGGTAACCATAAGAACATCTTTAATCATATCGCCACAGACTCTCCTACTGATAGAAAAGCATCTAATCATATACAAAAAAAATATTGTTTTGATAATCAGGAGCTCATTTCCTTCGAAAATGAAAAGACAAGAGAGGTTAAAAGGCTTGCAAAGAAAAACGTTCTACTTAAGATAATTTCAGTTGAAAAAGAGCAAGTGAATAAATATTTTGTATCAGGGTAATTCTCCGTTATGGAGAATAATAGAACATAAATGAAAATGAATGAATAGTTAATTCGTAGTATATTACATTCTTTGGAGTAAAACCAAAGCAATGGTTTGCGAAATTATAAATGAGATTAAAAACAGTGGTGAATGAGTGGATTAAAACATTTTGATGTTAATATTAACTAAACTCTTTAAGACGGTTTTTTCAGTAAGAATTTAGAATTCTATAAAAGATTCAGGAAATTTGGAAATACGTGTATTAAATCTAGCAAATTAAACCAAAATATTGCAACAATAATTGCACAAGACACTCAGAAAAACAACCAGTAAAAGGAAATGTACGAAACACTACGTGCAATATTATAACCTGGTTTCGAGCGGATGTAATACTGAAATATGAAACACATTCTGAGTCATAGTGGAGTCTAAACCGTTCCTTAGTGGTCAACTAAAGGTTATGGTGAGATCTAAACTGTTCTTCAGTGGTCAACTAAAAATATGGCGGGATCTAAGCTGTTCCTCAGCGGTCAACTAAAGGTTATGGCGGGATTTAAACTAATTCAGTGGGCAACTAAAAGTTATGGCGGGGTCTAAGCTGTTCCTTAGTAGTCAACTAAAGGTTACGGTGGGATCTAAACTGTTTCCCAGTAGTCAACTAAAAGTTATGGCGGCGTCTAAGCTGTTCCTTAGTGGTCAACTAAAGGTTATGGTGGATTTAAACTAATTCAGTGGGCAACTAAAAGTTATGGCGGGGTCTAAGCTGTTCCTTAGTGGTCAACTAAAGGTTATGGTGGGATCTAAACTGTTTCTCAGTGGTCAACTAAAAGTTATGGCGGGGTCTAAGCTGTTCCTTAGTGGTCAACTAAAGGTTATGGTGGGATCTAAACTGTTTCTCAGTGGTCAACTAAAGTTATGGCGGGGTCTAAGCTGTTCCTTAGTGGTCAACTAAAGGTTATGGCGGGGTCTAAGCTGTTCCTCAGCGGTCAACTAAAGGTT